CGGGTGCCTCATGATGTCATGCGTTACCCGGAACCAAATGGACCAATCCGGGGAGCCGTTACGTTACGTCCGCGGAGCCGTTACGTTAAGCCCCCGCTGATTGGTCCAAATTGACCAATCCACGGACTTCCTCACACACACACTCAGTGCAGGCAGCTCTGCTGATCTCTCCTCCCTGGCTGCAGGCTGATAACAGACAGTTGGGATCGCGGCGAAATTCTGTCTGCAGACCCATTCTCACAGCGTTTATCAACCTTTTTCTGACTCAATATCAAGCCACACTTATTGTTTTTATTTCGGCTGTGGCTTTGTGTGTGCTCAGGGTGAGTTTGGCTGTGTTTCGCTGAACAAGGAAACCACACCTCCACGGAGCTCAGCGCAATTCACAACGTCCCGACCAATCGGAGCACACTGGGCTCACAGGGAGGGGGGGAGGGGGGGGGGGGGGGTGCAAGAGCTGCAACGAGCCGTTTATGTGTATTCAGCAGTATTCACTCTCTCCACTAGTTTACAGAGATGCTGTATGCGAAACCAATGTGAGTTTGGAAAATTGCACAGTATAAATCTATTCTAGTAGACCTCAACAATTTAATTATGATTAGTGGAAATGGCCATGACATGGGCCCTTTAATACAATAATAAGTACTTTGAGTTTTGGTACCTTCTGTTGAGTTTGATTTGGTTTGATACTTTACTTCAGTGAAAAGTGGGTAAGACATTCTTCTTAATAAAAATGCATTTTCTTATAATTGTTTTAAATTGAAAATATTAAGTAAATTAACTCACAGTTGTATGCAAAGACCTGTTAGTTGTACAGTTTTACTTAATTAAAGTTAGTAACTTATTTGATGTATTAACATTTTTATTTACCCACACTTTTCGCAGCTTTGGGTTTTGTAAGGATTATAAAATCATACAAAAGTTACATTAAAGAAATGCATAAATCAAACTGCTCAATGTTGTTAATATACATTTCTATTATACCTCTTTTGATTGTTTTGTTTGAACATATTGCTGCTGTAATTTACACAGCCTATTACCGATGTCTCTCACACTATTTATAGAATCCCTCCGATGTGCGCTGCGTCTTGCCCACCGTGTTTCGATTTACTTGATGGTGCATTAGCGTGGAAGAAGCTACAGGAGAGTGGGGGGGTGTAGAATTCAGATCACTCTGACAATGACTGGGAATGACGTCAATGGTGGAGGGCTCTGAGTGAAATGTCATCTCTGAGCTGTAAAAACATGATGCTCTGCTCACAAAAAGGTCATTCTTTCTGCACTCAACACTGCAGGGTGCCCCATCCCTGAAAGCCAATGAAAAGCCTCCGTGGGAAATAAACACTCAGATCGGAGTAGTGCACATTATGTTTACCAAGTGTGTTTAGATAAAGGTTTTTTTAGCCATTTTTCTGGCTGTCAGGTGTCTTGTGGCATGACTGTGACGTTTTCTGTTGCTGTTGTAACCACACAGCATCCTGTTTCTCTCTCATGGCCGTGCGGTTTTAAAAATGAAAAATGTACTTCCGTCATTTCCATTGAAGCGGAGTGTTAAGTCGTGGCTTCACTTCTCAGTTTACTGGAAGCGGGTTCATTTGTAAACACTGGGGTTGGAAAGAGGGCCGGCTTGCAACAACAACACGTGTGCTTGTGGCCGGCAGGATGCAAAATGGGGAAATTACCCCTAAATGATGATTAGTTCATACCTTTTTTAGAGCATAAGAGCAGGGTGTTGAATACAGGTCACAGTGGAGGTATTCCATCCTCAATTATTTATTCTCTAAAATCTCTCAAAATGCTTGTTTTCTGAATCGAAATCTGATCATTCAGGCTACGTTACTCAAGCTACCATTGTAGCTGCTCCATTCCCACTCAAAATAATGTCATGTAGGCATAAATAAAGCAGTGACTTTATTGATTATACCATGAACAGTCTATTGTTTGTATACTTACATTTATAAACATAGATTTGTGTCTGGTCTCTGTTCAAACTTGAGGTACGGTTGAGCTTTGTGTGCTAGTCATGGTGCGGGCTGGTTTCTCTGATTCAACAATTTCAGTACGTCAGTGACGGTCAGGAAGTTCAACCATGGATGTATAAAGAGAACTGGGTATAGCTCTGGAAGCAGGACCCAGTTTATATGAAAGTTGCGCATGAAGTCAAAATGGCCTGACTCTTGATCACAAAATTCCCCACAGCTTATGTGCAATGCCTTGATTTGTTTTATGCTGCTGCTGCAACAAAAACATTTCCCAAATTGGGATTAATAAAGTACATTTTAATCTTACATTGTATCTTATCTCCAGCCAATCTTCAGCCTCCATTGGGCCCATAGAGCATTCACACTATTTTTTTTTTTTTTTTTACTAAGCCTCCAGTTCTCTCTGTCGCGTCACGTCCGCTCCCAGCTCAGTCATGAATGGATTCGGCTTCAAGCGTATTTTAAAAATGTTATGCCATAATGATTTAAACAGAAATGATTCAAGTGTTGAACTGGTTAGCTGTTATAACGTTAAAAAGATACACGCTGATTTGCAGAAGTCTATTTCCCAATGTTAGTCAATGGGAGTATGTTTGAGCCAAGTGGCTTCAAATTGTAGTACTATTGTTTGGGCACTACGACAATTTGCTTTGACACTTAGCAGACTTCCTGGGAGCTTGATCTCAACCCTGATTGGCTGAATTTTGTGTCACTGTCTTCATTTGCACCAGGGCTTCTTTGCATTGAGTTCGCACTACATATAGCACCACAGAATGATTTGTAAAATAAATGAAAGCACTGCAATGATAGAAATGTCGTACTTAAACATGTATTGAGAGAAATACAATATGTGTGTGTTTGTGTGGGGGTTGTTTGTGTGTGTGTTGCTCATCATCTTAGCGCTGTGTGATTCCCCTCTGTCTGCCTCTGAACCGGTTTGTGGTTCTGAAGGCCACCTCAACCCCAACGCCCCCATATCAACCACTGAAACCTCCGGGACTTTTCCAGACCAGTTCTGCTGTTTTTTAGCCAGTCAACCTCAGCGACATCCTCTGCTTTCATTCATGCTGCATCATATTGTAGATTGAAGGACAGACTATAGAGACGTGTGAAACATACATGCGTTCACATGACTGTGGCCTTTTTAAAAAGCAGGTTCAGACAGCTCTCAATAACAATGGCATGTGGTGGTCGAGTGCCGGAGGAGATGGGAGCGTGAAAGAATGCAGTCGATTGGCCCTGAGTGAACCCTGAGCTCGGTGTTTGGGTTCATGTGGAGACACTGTTGCTTATGAATAAAAGTAAAGTGCATGAAAGGTACAATAAAGTAGATTGCAAGATACCTTAATAAATAGTTGGTATTGATTTAATACTTGGTTCTCAATGCTAGTCTTATTTTCCAATACAAACCAAAAAGCCAATTTATTTTTCCTTCACTTTTTGATCCATTTCATTCGGTTTAGGAAGAATTGGTGGATGAAACACTCTTTATTTTGTCACAGATGTACATGCACACAGTACAGCACACACAGCGAAACTGGGAGCGGTAGTGGGGGGTTCGGTGCCTTGCTCAAGGGCACCTCTGCAATGACCATTAGGTGAACTGGCACTTCTCGAGCTACCAGTCCACACTGGTCCGATCGGGACATGAACCAGCGATACAGAATGTTTCAGATAAATAAAGTAGACAGAAAGGGATTGCATAAATATATTATTTATATATATTTTTTTGTTTTAACAGCATTCCAACTAACTGTTATTCTACGCACGAAAAGTTTATTATTCTGCCGACTTATTTTGCCGCGCTTCTCCTCCCGCATTGAACATCGCAGAAACTCTGTTCAAACATCAAAATGTTCAGCTCGGTCGGGAATCGATAGCTATTACTTTTCTCATTCATAACTTTCATAATTCCAGAGATACATCCCATAATACATCACATTTTTAACCATTGAAGTCAATGGAGAAATTCTTCAACTTCAACCAATCTTCATGCGACTTCAACTGCTAACTGTTCATTCGTACTTTCACTCAGAAACTTCATTCTAACTTTAAAATGTTACACATCTTTCTGACATTATTCGTGTAAAACAACTTTAAAATCTGATTCTTACTTTTAGAGATATTAAACATTGTTCAGACCTTGTTTTAGAGGTTTTCTTCAGATTTTAACATTAACTAGAGTGCGTGATGTCACAGCTAGAGGGTAGAAAATCTTGAAATTTGCCTTCGTATATTTTTTTTAAACTGCCATAATTCCCAAACCCTACATTCCTGAGACATCATTTATCATGACAAACGTAGGAAAGCATCCCGTAGCTTGAAAAATGACGAATAATTAAGCAAAATGCCTCTTGAGGGCATGAAGTGACAACAACGTTCAACATTCCTCCATTAAACCCCATTGTAATTTCAGGCAGATATTTCCTCACGGCAGCAGCCTTAGTTAAACTGCCAAAAAGGCCACATTATTAACCCGAAACTACACAAAAATTACACTTCAGATACTCAACTTCCTTGACATGCTTAACGTTTTGACATTTCACAGATATCTGTTACGGTTCTTCCACAAAACGTTCACATGTAAGAGGTGTATCTCTCATTCAGAACAATGGAAACCTTTGATCTCTACAGAGCTCGTTAGCTCAACTATAAACACCTGTGTAATGGAACACGATGATGTCATCACTCCAACTGACATGCTCAGAGCAGCAGACTTCAGATAGCAGTGTGCTAACAGTCCAGCCGTGAAGACATCTACGGGACAGTTTTGAGATTTCTTCAAATGCCGTTGCCATGGCAACACAATGCTCGCCATGAAACACGGTTTTGGTGGTGGTCCCTGACCCCAACGGCGGAGTCGGGTGTCGTGGACAGACTGTTTCTCTTCTGCAATTTGGATGTGTGTCATAATGTGAATGTATTTATTGATTTGTTTATGTGGTTTAATAATTGAATAGGTTTATGTCAGACATGCGTGACAGTTACAATTTGTGATCATTATTGATTTAATTGTTTTGTTTTCTGTTTTGGTTTTGATCTCTTACGTTAAGGACTTCTTAACGATGCACCCTTACGAATACGACTTTTCGAAGTGCGATTTGACGGAATACGGACCTTTACACTTCCTAAATCTAACCTTTACTATGTCTTGTGACCCCGAACTTACACACCTTCTCTCTTCTTTTCTTTCATTTTTTCCGAACCTTTCGTCGCCTTATAAACTTGACGTTGAAGACTTGATCGAACTTACCGCTACTAGACAGCGGTACCGTTGCTGTAAACTACTGTGGGGTATTATGCGAATCTACGCAACTACCGGACGTAACAATGGTTTGAACACTTCAAAACCCGCAAACCTCGTCAAAGTGA